ACGCGAGAACACTAACAAAGTTTATGGTGTGGTAAATTGTAGATGATGACCTAAAAATGAAAAAATACCGTTTTTATACGACTTGTTCATTTTGGATATTTAAACCAAAAAACAAAGGAAACAAACAAACAACAAGCAGCAACAACAGTGGCAAAAACAGCAGCAATAAAAATAATAAACATAGCTAAATTAATAGCTAAACTTTGAATAACCAAGTAATGAAAATTTACTTTAACACAGACAAAACTAATACCAGCATCAAAAACATCAACAACAAAACTCTTTTCTCAAACACTAGTTTAGTCATTCATTCAACAAAACTATAAAATCTCTAATATATCCTTTCTTTTAGTTAGCAAAAAAAAGAAACTTATGAATTCAAAAAATATTTGTCCTTTTTTCCCTTTTGATACAATATTATTAGAGAACTGTTTGAAAAAAGAATTTTTATTTTGAGAAAACTGCTGCAGATGTGTAAAAAAAAAAAAAAAAAAACGCTGAATGCGTTTGGTTTTCTGAACATGCATTTACATTCTCTATACTTCGTCAAACACTGTCTATGTGTCTACCGCAGCGGGGAACACGGGGATACCACTGAAGCTGTGGAATGAACGCTGTTGAATTCTGCACATTGGCAACTTTCCAAACCATTTCTCTTCCAACAGCACCCCATCTCTCTGCTGTTGCCGCAATGGTCGTCATTAACCATTGCCAGGCGACTAATGCTGAGCCACAAACAGCAAGCAACAGGCAATTGGCCGAGGACAGAGAAAAACAAGAGAACGTGAGAGTCGGAGAGAGGGAGACAGCACTAGAGCAGAAAAAGTCTGGGCTTATGGCAAGCCAAAGGCATAGACCGCCACCGTCATCAGCGGCAGCAACAACAACAGCAACAGCAGCAGCAGCAGCAGTATCAGCGCAGCCATTTCGGAAACACTTATACGCACTTTTGATCAGTGTTGTTGAAATTTGCCCGTTGTTTGGTACCTTTCAATGCACGGATATATTGGCAGGTATCAGAATACAAAAAAAAAAA